CGTAGCCTCTCACTTTTTCAATGTAGTTCCTACAATCTTTTTGTAGAAACGTCAAATTCTCTACACCTCCTGCCTCAACTGAACATAACTGAAAATTTTTACATGGTCTAATCCCAACCACATCATTAACTTCAAGTCGCCTTTTTACATAAGGTTGTATAGTTCGATTAACCTTGAAATATCTTCTTTTTGTTGGACTTGTAAGATCATGGTTATGTTCAAGTACAACTGATTTAATTTCCCATTTGCATTCACCATTCAAAGCTGCACTAATCCGACTCTTACAATCTGTTTTGGCAACAGGTTGTTTTTTCAAGGTATTTCTAGACTTACATCTCTCCTTCCCAGAACAAGAACATGCCACTGTCACATCTCTCATCTCTCCATCATCGCCTTTCTTTGACGTACGTATCATTGCTTCAAATCCCATTTTGTTACCATACCGTTTGTAATACTTCACCAGACTATCAATTGAATCAAACACCATTCCAATATGAGGCTCTACTTCTTCCTCTGCACATCCCATATCTTCTAATTCATCATGTTCGTTTTCCTGATCATTTAATAGTTTTATAATAGACAAAATTAGAATGTACTAATACAAAACATCAAAAGAAACAATATGATATAATAAATTTAAAATCATGTTAATGAAAAAGTTAAGGTTTCGAGCACAATTTACCTCAACATCATTGAAATGAGGCAAATTAGACTCTTCTATATTCTGTAATTTAATGCAAAACCAATACTAGTGTTCGCATTCACGAATCTGATTCACAACAATCACCAACAGATATTTTCTATCGGTTTTTTTCTATTGTAACATATATTCAATCCAAAATAGAATACAAAACTAAATAAATGCATAAGTTAAATAAAAACTAGTTAACAACCTCAACAAATCTTTCTAATCTGGACAATTTTGATCTTCTTTATCTCCCTTTCCACTGTAAACAATTGTTTGACGAATTTTTTTTAGCTTTCGTTCTTGTCACGGTAGCTGGAAAATGAGGAAGAAACTACTGTTGAGGAAGAAAGTCAAGACGAATGCAGACTCTTTGAACAGACTTGAACGATGAAGCAGAAGGCGACGATAGGTATAAAACGAAGTTTTTTCTTTTTTCTTTCGTTCGAAGATTTTTCGCGCTGGTTTTTGGAGAAGCTAATGTTTTTCGCAAATAATTTTTTTTTTAATTAAAATAACATTTTATTATATTATGGACGGTCGTCCATATTATGTGGACGACCATCCATTACATAAGGGACGACCATCCATACATAGTGGACGGGCGTCCGTACCTTAGGGACGTCAGTCCACAATTTATGGACAGGCGTCCATAGTTTTTATTTAATTTTTTAAAACCACATTATGGACAGGCGTCCACACATTAGGGACGCCCGTCCACAATTTATGGATGGGCGTCCAAATTTTTATTTAATTTTTTAAAACAACATTATGGACGGGCGTCCATTCCTTACGGATGCCTGTCCAAACGTTAGGGACGCTCGTCCACAAGTTATGGACGGGCATCCAAAGTTTTTTTTTAAATTTTTATATTTACATTATGGACGGGCGTCCCTTATTTGCCGGCACCCGTCCATAACTGATGAACGGTCGTCCCTAAATGTTTTTTAATTTTTAAATACAATTGTTAATGGACGGGCTTCCATTTGCCCGTCATAAACATATGAACGCCTATCCAATATTTAGGGACGGCCATCCATAACTAGGGATGGGCACGAGCCGGGTCGAGCCGGGCCGGGGACCCCATGCCCATGCCCATGCCCATGCCCATGCCCCATTACCCCCTTCCATGACCATCCCCGGCCCATGGGGAAAAAAATCCCTCCCATCCCCGTCCCGGCCCGGCTTGATGAACGGTGCTTCACGAGGATTTATCCCCCGAACGGGGATTTTTGCCCCGTGTAAATCAAAAGTTTCCGTAACAATAATATTTAATTATTTTAATTGTGAAAAACTAGTACGTTGATAGGTATTATATTTGACAATTTGACTGTTTAATTTCAGTAGTTAATTCATTAAAAAGGCATAACTTAAGGTAAGAAAATATAAAGTCTAACAATTTCTTGTAAAATTTAAATTAAGATTTAAAAAGCAATACATAACTACTACCATAAACTAAATTAATTGTTACTTAGTAACACATTTTCTATATAGTATTAAATAGAGGAATTCAGATTCTACATTCTGATGCTTTATGTTGCTGAGGCATTGCCGCATTGTAATGTTCCACTGAAATAGTCTCATCTCCTAAAATTCATAAAAAAAAATACCTGAATGAAAATTTCGCTTAAAATTGATATGAATAATTGAATATGGTGAATAACAACAATTTCTTGGCAAAAATTGGAACATGCTCATGGATTTCAAAGCAATAAAATATAAACATCCTTCAGGCTGCATTGTAATAATATAAACATCCTTCAGGCTGCATTGTAATAATATTAACATCCTTCAGGCTGCATTTTAAATTTATTTTTGGGCCATGTCCCATGTATTATTATTTTGTGAAATTCATGAAGTAATGATATATATATTTAATTATTACACTCCCTCGTTTAAATTATTTTTCTATAAATTTAATACAAACATTAGAAAATATTATAAAAGTAAATATCATAAATTTAGATACATTACTTAAAATCATGATTTAAACTTTAACTTTATATACAATCTCGTAAAGGGAACAAAAAAAAAAAAAAAAAACATAAAATTCTCAAAAAAGCGAGGCGGGTAGGGCTCCATGGGCCCGGGACGGGGATTGCACTATCCCCTTCCCCGGATGTGGGGATCTTACTAAGGACCATCCCCTGCCCTATCCCCATTTTTTTCGCGGATTCCCTGACTCATTCAACCCGAGTTAGGACGGATCCCCGCAGGGCCGGGGCAAATGCCCATCTCTATCCATAACCTATGAATGGCTGTCCCTAATTTTTGTTTATATTTTTTATTCCATTTACTGATGGATGAGCGTCCTTTAAATGGGGACGCCCGTCCATAGTAAATGGACCCCTGTCCATATAATATGGATGTGAGTCCATGTAAGTGAACGACCATCCATATTTGATGAACAACCATTCATTAGAAAAAAATTTAATAACGTGAAACGTGTCAGGTGTGAGTCACAAGACACATAGGCCGGTATAAGATTTCGGTGTAAGAATCCTGGTGTCCGTAGCAGGGGCGGACCCAGGCCCTTTGAGGGTAGGCCCAAGCCTGCCCTCAACTTTTAAAAAAAAAAATGCGTAAAGTTTTTTTTTTAAAGTTAAGAAAAAGTTAAAGTTAAAAAAATGTAAAAGTGAGGTTTTGTCTTTTTTCGTATTCCACTTTTTCTTCCCCAATTCCCAACTTCTCTTTTACTGTAAAAGTTCTACAGACTATATGTGACGGCTAGGTTCAACTTACAACCAGAAATTAAAAAAAATCTCCCTCTCAACTTCTCTCACTCACGTCTCCTGAAGGTTAGTCTACTAAAATATTGAAGTTTTAAGTTTAAATAAGATTGATGTTATGTAAGATTGATGTTAAAATTTTGGGTACTTTAAGCTATAAAATGCAAAGAAAGGTCCGCCCCTGTCCGCCACTAATTGTGGCTACCTGAATTTTTGAAGTCATGTAGAAATTGGTTGTTGAATATAGTTTTTTCTGTTTTAAGAAAACTTGCTTTTTTATAATAAATATTTGTCTCCTTGAATTTACTTACCCTTGGTTTGCCAGTGCGGCAAGGATGCCTGGTTGGTTTTTAACCAATTGTTTCAGTCTTTGCTTAAGAGAATGATGGGGCTACATGGTGGCAATATTTGGATTTTTGAAGTCTTGTAGTAGGAAATTAGTTGCATACAGTTGGATTGGTTATTAAAAAATCTGCTTGTTGCATAATTAAGAATTGTACCCTTTTCCCTTTTTGGAGGATGCTTGGTCAATTTATAAACATTTGTTTGATTCATTGCTTAAGATAGCAAAGGGACTATTTATTGTCGAAAAAGTAAGATCGACTGGTTGGCTAGAAAATATGGGAGAACAAAGGAAGCAATATTTGGAATTTTCAAGTGTCGCAGAAAATTACAGAAATTTGTGAAAACTTTGCTGGTGTAATTAAATATTAGTCTCCTGATTTTTAAAAGACACACACTGACACATATCCTTTTGATTATGAATTTATTTACCCTTGGCTTGCTTTTGTGCCAAGATACTTGGCTGGTTTGTAACAAGTAGTTCAGTTCTTGTCTTTGTGAAGACATGATTTATCCTTTGGTTTGCCTTAGTGCCCAGACGTTGCTCTTTTAAATTTTGAATTTATTTTAAAACTTCTTTTCTAAACCTCACAAATTATGGGCGCCTAATCTATAAAAACAAATGGCCTCCATCTCTCATTGGATGCAATTAAATATTTAAAGTATCATGTATGGTGTTTTAAATTAAAATATATCTTATGTATTGTGTATCATGGTTTGTTCATGTGTCTTATGGCTTAGTTTTTATTATTATTATTATTATTATTATTATTATTATTATAGGAATCTCTTTGACTCTTATTTTTGGGATCCCATTTTGATACTAACTCATTATATGTTTATTAGATTTGGAATCCAAAGCATTAACAAATAAGATTATGATATCGAATTATTTCAAGAGATTGAAGAAAAGTCCAACAAAAAATGTTGATGGAGACTCTACTAATATTGAGGTTAATCAAACCCCATTAGAAGAAGAAGCCCCACAACAGCGACAACAACACCAAGTAAAAGAAGCTCAACCTTTAATTGGGGTGTTCAATTTAGATGAGCTTGAAACTGACCCAGGATTGAGGATACCAATTAACGAGCTTTGTTGTACTGACAAATAAAAAGAGGAAGTTCGAAGAGCATACTTGTTGAAAGGTCCTTGCCAACCTAAAGATCATAACTTTCCTTTCACTCTTTTAGGAGATAAAAAGCGTAGGTTTACATTAGAGTGGTACAAAGAAGGTTCACGTTGGATGGAATATAGTGTGGCAAAAGATGCAATCTTCTGTTTGAATTGTTATCTTTTCAAACCCGATTATGGTGACCAAGCAGGTGGTGAAGTTTTTGTGAATAAGAGATATAATAACTGGAAAGATAAAGCAAATGTGAAAAAACATGTTGGTGATCATTCGAGTACTCATAACCAATGTCATGCCAAGTGTGTTGATTTGATGAACCAAAGGCAACACATCGATGTAAATCTTGCTTACATGTCGAAAAAGAGCAAATTGGACTATTGCATTCACTTGAATGCGTTAATTGATTGCATTCACTTGAATGCATTAATTGATTGCATTAGATTCCTTTTACATCAAGGATTAGCATTTCGTGGTCATGACGAGTCGATTGAATCTGAAAATCAAGGTAACTTTATGGAACTATTGAAGTTTCTATCCAATCACAATAACGACATAAAGAAAGTTGTGATGGGAAATGCTCCGAAAAACCATCAAATGACAACCCCCAAAATCCAGAGGCAACTAACTAGTGTTTGTGCTCATTTGATGACCAAGAAAATTATTGCAAAAATTGTGAGAGATAAACAACCGTTTTCTTTACTAGTTGATTAATCTCGTGATGTGGCAGTGAAAGAACAAATGGCTATTGTTTTTCGCTATGTGGACAAAATAAGTTGTGTTATTGAACGTTTTATTGGGATTGTTCATGTTAAGAATACTTCTACAAAGTCTTTGAAAATTGCAATAGATGCCCTTTTTGTAAAGTATGGATTGAGTTTGACAAGTTTACGGGGGCAAGGTTATGATGAAGCAAGCAATATGAGGGGTGAGTTTAATGGTTTGAAGACTTTGATATTGAGAGAAAATAAATTTTCTTTCTACATTTATTGTTTCTCTCATCAACTCCAATTGGCGCTAGTCAAAGTTGTAAGTAAACATTCAGCATTGGGTGAATTTTTTCAAACTCTTTCTATGTTATCAAACACTGTAGCAGCATCTTACAAGTGCAGAGATCTTCTACGTGATAAACAGTATGAATATGTGATATCTTTGATTTCTAATGGTGATATTCTGACGGGACGCGGTTTGAATCAAGAATGCACTATTAAACGACCAGGAGATACACGTTGGGGTTCACACATAGGGAAAATTCATAGTGTCATAAACTTATTTTCTTCTGTTGTTGGTGTGCTCAGAATGATTGGGATTGAAGGAGATGATTAGCAAAACAAAAGTCAAGCAAGGAGTTTATTATGAATCATGGAGAATTTTGAATTCGTTTTTTTGTTATTCTTGATGAAGAAAGTATTGGGAATCACATATGAACTGTCATTACAAAGAAAAAATCAAGATCTTCTTAATGCCATGCAGTTTGTACAAATTTCGAAGCGTCGATTGCATAAATTGAGAAATGAAGACACTTGCTTTGACATATTGTTGAAAGAAGCTTATGATCTGTGTAAAGATAATGACATACCAATCCCGGAGAACATGGAAGATAATTTTGGGAGGACAAAACAAGGGATTGCGCCAATTACGAATAAACATCATTTTAAGGTGGAATTGATGTACACAGTTTTAGATAACATTCAAGAAGAACTCAATGACCGTTTTGATGAAGTAAATATGAGGCTGCTTCAGTGTATGGTATCTCTTGATCCAAGTAACTCTTTTGCTGCATTTAACAAAGACAAATTACTTGAGTTTGCAAAGTTCTATCCTGCCGATTTTCCTCAACACGATATTTGGTTGCTCGATAATCAACTTGAAAACTATTATAAGGATGTTAGCACCAATGCCAATTTCACTCATGTTGATGGGATTGCCGATATTGCAAAAAAAAAATTGTTGAGTTTAAGAAGGATGTTGCTTACGACAAAGTTTTTTTGCTTATTAAATTAGCACTGGTTTTGCCCGTGGCTACTGCAACAGTTGAAAGGGTGCTCTCTACAATGAATCTTGTTAAGAATACTTTGCGTAATCGAATGGGAGATGAGTGGATGAACAATTGCTTAGTAGTTTACATTGAAAATGAAGTTTTTGCTACAATTCAAAATGAAGATATCATTGAACATTTTCAGAACATAATGAAGCGGAAAATCATGTTAAATTGAAGATCTTCAGGTATACTATTCTAACTTGCTTTTATTTTTATATAATCAATATTCATATTATTTAGATCTTTAGGTATACCATTCTAACTTGATTTTTGGGTCAATACGCAGAGGATGTGTGGATCTTTAATCTAGACGGTTGAGTTAGGATGTTAATGTTTGGATCTGGATTTAGAGTGATTGTAATTCATCTCTTTGTAAACCTTTGTGTATTTTACTTTTGTTAGAGTTGTGATTGAGCTCTAAATTTGTGTAGAATATTTTTGGTGGATTTGTGGTTATTGTAAACTCTTTTGATTATATTGGATTTAAATGGATCGTTAGATTCCCGTGGTTTTTTTTATCTCTTAACATTGAAGAGGTTTTTCCACGTAAAAATTTTCTTGTATTTCCTTGTGAATTGGATGTTATTTTCTTATGTTTTCACTAGTTGATTGACAAACAGTGGCGGAGCGACGGGGCCCGCCTTAGACAAAAATCCTGGGTCCGTCACTAGTCCATAGCATTATTGTTTTCTATTTTGTGCCTCATATAAGAATTTTATATGTTGAATTTAAGGGAAATATTATCTATATTAATCTAGTCACATGACTGAATCCACTCAACCCTTTTGGATCATTCTTAAATAAGGCTATTATTATTTTTTAATTTGTGAAAATATATCTCTCCCAAGAAGTCAAAAACCGGATACTCACCCTAGTTCTCCGAAGCTCCGTAATTTCATAAGTAGTTATAATAATATTGAACTTTGAAAACTATGCTATAAGGTGGCAGCTGGTAGCTTCAGTCGACACCTTTTTGGCTTTTGCTTGATTTCTTGTGTTTGATATATTTATACGTAAACGTAAACAGAACTGTCCATATACAAACAAATATTAAATATTAGGAATTTTCTCCGAATCGAAGAATTTCTGGCATGATTTTGGTGACCCCACAATATGTAACACTTGTGGCTGCAAACTTCAATTTGGTGAAAATTAGCTATTGTAGGGCCCTTTAACAGTGTTCACCATCTGGGGTGATTGTGAAATGAGATTCCCTTTTAATGGATATAGCCAAGTTGCTTTGAAAGCACGATTGCACATTACAGAAGAAATTTGAAAAAAACGAGCCGTTTACGTTTAGCAAGAAATTGCAAATTTCCAACTGTACATTTCTCTCAAAATGTATCATCCAACCTGTCTGATTTCAATTTCTTCCTATGAACATGGTTAATTTTAATTTGGTTGAATTAATTTCCAAGCCATTACCATTTTTTTTTTCTTACAAGCTAATATCCCTGTGCCCATAAAGCTAAGTTGGGTTGAACCAGATTCACTCAATACTAATCTAACTTTAAAACAAATTAAAACCCATAGATCTAAGTGGTACTGGTACCCAACTCAGTTCATACATTCATGTTAAGCTTCCATACCTAATCAAATATATTTAATTTTATACTTGTTAATAGAGGGAATATATTATCATTTTAATTAATTAGAATTAAAAATAAGATGAAATATATAAATCAATGATTAGTACAGCTTTCAAGACACGGTTTGGTAGATATTCAAACATTAATCATTCACACAGCACAACTGTAAGAAAGAGCTTAGGATTCTTTTTTGTTTTTCACAACTAATAAAGCAAACGTTTACTTGTGCAAAGTCTTTCACTCTTCAACTTGTTCTCAGGAATATACTCTTCTTTCTTTAATTAATTCACAAACTAAATCCCAACAAAACCCCAAACAAAAGTCTTCTGTCTTTATGTAGCTGGGGCCCTACTTTCTTAGTTTAAACACATTTATAATATTACCACAATGACATTAGGCTTCCAGAACGGCTAATTTGTTTGCTCATCTCTATATTCTATAAATAATTTATTCTTAGATTTAAATCAATATAATAAAAAGATAAGCAATTTCATTAATAATTACAATATAGGATACTGCAGATCTAAAATGTGAAATTAAAATATACTTCTCGTATATAGCCGCAAAAATAATATTATGTTAGTTGAATAAATATTTTCTACTGGGCAACGGCCAATCAATATAATAAGGCAGGGGTAGATTTGGAAACAAGAAAAGGTCGAACATGATTTTTGCCGCGTACAGGTATAGCCCCTACCCGTGTAAGCCACGAGGTTGCTTCCCCGCAGTTCACATTTGCTTGCTCACCAACTGATCTAATATCTCTCTCTCCGCGTATCAAATTCTACTTGTATAAATAGCTTCACTCTCTCCATCTTTATCATCATCTCAAATCTAAACACCAACTGCGCTTATATCTTTCAAACACCAACTTTTAAGTTTTGTTCTTTCTTCTCCACGGCAGTATTTATTGCAACTCTCCAGTGGCAACTGGCAAGTAGCAATAAAGCCAAGAAAATGCCGAAGAAAAACAGTCATGTTAATCGTAAAGCGTGGAACTTATTACGTCTAGCATTGTTATGGGCAAGAAAAGGAGGGGTGTTTAAAAGACGTTTGATGATGGAACTTCGTGTGTTGCCAAAGTTCATCAAAAGTTTAGGACACAACACTCCACGGGATAAAATCTATTATGGAGAGCGGGAGCTTTCCTTTGACAAGACACCTATTTTCAATGTGAAGATGCATCGTCCAGCTTCCATGAGATTTCTTATTCCTTGCATAGCCCCGCCAGTTGATTTTGATTATGATTTTGATGCTGATGATCATTATCATGATGATAGAGATGGAGGTTATGGTTATGGTTACGATTATGGGAGGAGTTACTTGAAAAACGAAGAAGAAGAAGAAGAAGAAGAAGAAGAGGAAACTAGTGAAGAGAAAATTCCATTGGAGGAACAAGGAATTGATTTGAGAGCGGAGGAGTTCATAGCTAAGTTTTATCAACAAATCAAAATGCAAAGACAGATTTCATATTTGGAGTACAATGAGAACCTAAATAGAAGCACAACTTGAGTTGAGTTCATCTGTTTCTAGTAATTTGCTTAAATTTGTTCATTTATGTGTTAGAGGTAATTAATGCGGCATTTTGTAGATACTATAAGCTTTTATTAAGTGTTTACTATTTTACAAATAAACCATATGGTTTCATCTGTATCACAATACATATATGATATATTTTTGAACAAGTGAATATTTCATTCCCTTTGACTCTTTAATTGTTAATCAACCACAATTTCAGTCTGCAATGCATTATCAAACCAAACCATATTATGGAATACTTTCAAATTTCTAATGCTTGGTAAAGGGAGAAAAACAAGATTTATGGTGACAATTGCATAGTTAGTGAATTTGCAATTAGCAAATCGTCCAATCCTTAGTATCAGTGTTCAGAAGGCTTGAACATCACACACGCTATGCCAAATTTATATATATGGGGACAATACTAATTCAGCCTAAAGTACAACAAAATTTTCTTAAACACACTCCGATGCTTCATCCTGGGAGGTGGCTTGCATGTCCAAATGAAGGGAAGGGAAAAAGAACTCAATAAATTTGATCACAACCTGCACATTAAAAAAAAAAAAAAAAAAGAATCAGCTTTGTGCTGAAAGAGCAAGAAGTGCCATAAAGTTTGCTTCTAAATGCTATTGCACAGAAGGATCAACTTCCATGCACATTAATCCACCATAAAAGATTCATCTCATTGAGCTTATCAACAGAGATTACATTTTGAATACAGATGACACGATTGAGCATGTGTTTCTTTCACCCGTACACCGTTCTAATAAAAGAACTATGCATGGCATTGAGACTTTCAAGCCTTAGTTGCAGCCATGCTAAATTATGTGCAAGAACACCATAGAAGACTAGATTTATGAATTATTAAAGCCACAGATAACTACTTCCATAGATGCTTAATCATATTATCAGAGTTGAAAGTCTTAAGATGTTTGAAACCAAATGCTTAAGCATAATATTAGAGTTAAAACTGAACGATGTCTGAGACAAACCCCTTTCACATACATAATATAAACTGAACCTGACCACTGCTAACTAAATTAAACCAAACTTTTAATTCTGTTTAAAAGAAGCCAGAAAGTGCATCACACATATATGCAGGTGTGCTACTTTGTATCTAAGAATTCCTCAGTTTGTCCCTTCAGAACTAACCTATCTAGTAATTGTAAGAATGATGTAGAACATCTAGATGGTAAAAACTTCTAGATTAACTTCCATTCTGATGTGTATTAAGATATGCTTCCAACTGCTTTGTTGCCGCCAATATTAAACCTGCAATTGCAACGACATATTGTTAACTGAAATGTAGATATTTACACTGCTCTAAATAGAACCATATCTAAAGGCACAGGTCATCACGTCTTCTTCAACTATCACCCATGTTCTCTTTGAATGCTATCAATAACAAAATTGGTGATTCTCAATAATCTTTTGATTGAAAGGAAGAGAAGTGGAAAATTGGTCCCAAATTTTAAAGACATATTATTACACTATTTTCGCTCTAAATTATTCTTTCACAATATCTCATATTTTTAAAGGGAAAGATTAGCGGTCGAATCAGAAGAAAAAAATGCTTCCAACCACACAAGGGAGATAACCTTCACGGTCTCCCTTGTCCCCTCTCTTATCTACAAATGAAATATAAGATATAACTTGAAGACATTGTGATGACATTCTGTACACCATGGAATATATGTGGGTTCTAGGAGAGGATGTAAAATAGTATGAAGAAGGCTCATGCGTAGAATAAAAAGTACCTAAAAACATAGGAGAGGGCCTCCCGGGTCGCGATTTGAACTCTGGATGGAACTGAGATCCTACATAATATGGATGACCTGGAAGCTCCAAAATCTGCAGAAAAGAACAGAAGAACAGAACTTCAAAATTGAATGATTTGGGTAAGTGCAAACTAACTTCTCAATCTAGCAAAACGACCACGAACAAGATATGCCCAAGCCCACCTCCATTCGTTTTCCAGTTTCATCCTTCCCTACAAATTTTAGCCCAGCTTCTTCAAGAGCCCCAATTACCTCAGGGTTCACCTGCAGCATACAGGACCAAAGGATCGTCATGTACACTAGAAATTATGCACGCCAAATATTTTGCCTCCATAAGAATGAATTTTAAAACTGACCTCATATCTGTGGCGATGCCGTTCATCCACATACTTGGGATTACAATACCTAGCAAGCAAGAGAAAGTTTAATGGGGATGCATAGCAGTACATGGGAACACATCATAGTATCCTCTTTGGATAGCAAGTTGCTGGCTGATAGGCAGCAGAAACTGGACAAGAAGACTACCTTGTGGCCTAAGAACCACCACATTGGTATAAAAGAATAGTCACCCTAACGTCCAATTACGGCTCTACCATGCATTGATGTAGAGTAATACATAAATATGGAGCAAAATGAATTGTAAAAGTTCTATATTGCATTAACAGACAAACTTCATGTACTCCTGAAATTGAAAAGTAGATAAATCACATACAATTTCGAAGAAAGGCAATCATGGGTCTGGAATATTGTTTTTCGAGAACCTAGTCTCATTGTGCTTCCCATATGTGTTCTTGAACCCTGCATATGGATGTGAAATGATAGATGATATAGTTTGTGTTTATGTGTAATTTATCACAACAAATAGTAAAACAAGGCAGGCAATAGAATTCAAACCTCAGGCATGAAAATTACAACATTATCCGGACTCTCGGTATCAAACTCTGAACTGTTTGCCCTTTCTAAACCCAGAACCTAAAAACAATTAACTAGAGGCAATCAGAGAATGGCTACAATATGATCTGAAAGTGAACACTGAAATGAAAAACAAACCACCCACGGATCTAGCAAACTCAATTACAGAAATCTGCATGCCCAAGCAAATCCCAAGATAGGGTACATTATTCTCTCTAGCATACTTTGCAGCCAATATCATTCCTTTCACACCACGATCTCCAAATCCACCAGGAACTAAGACACATTCTGCATTCTGCAATGAAATTTTACCACGCTTCAAAATCTATTCTAAGACCATTACACAAATAAAATTATATTAGGGAGATTCTCTGTCTGAAAAAGGAATTATAAAAAGGAAAAAAAACTAGCAAAGCTTGAAAATCTGAATGTCTGTGTATGCATAAAGCTTTCTACAAAAGTGATCAACAAAACCAAATATGGCACGATTTTGGGATTTTGATGCAAAGAATCATCTGATTGGTCCAAAAATATATAATCTGATGGTAGCAATGATGAATAAAATAAGCAAATAAATAAATTGAGTTACCCTCAAAGTCTCCCATGCAGCCGCATGAGCTTCTGGTGTCTGCAAATGCAGACAAAACAATTAAACAAGGCAATTTTTTTTCTCAAAAATATATGGGAAAAAAGACCAACATGAATGTGATAAGCCAGCAGTGCATAAAGTCTACACCCTTAAAGGGCGTAAAAAGCATTAGAATGCAACTAGGACAGTTCAGTACCAAGTTCGCACTATCATCTTCAAGATCAGAAGCTGCAATCCAGTCGATTGATGGCTTCAGGGAACATGCGATGCAGGCATGCAAAAGGGCCTGCACTAATAAGCATAACCATAACAGAAGTTGGCAATGTAGAAATTATAAACTAAGCAACCAAACCAGGTAAATTTTTTTATTTTATTTTTTCCATAAAGAAAAGGCAGGTACTCATCCAGTAACAAACATCTAATTGTGAAATGAGCTAAACTATCATGATTTAGCGTTGCATCAGATAAAGTATCATTTATTTCTTCCAAAAAAATCAGCAAATAACAAGTATTAACCAACACAAAAGCTTAAGCTATTAGGTTGAGAACACATAGTAAAAGTACTCTACTCAAATCTTATATTTACATTTAATCTTACAAGGGTAGATTAACACTTAAAATGGGCAGTTCTTCTATGCATCAGGCTTATTTTGATGGACATAAGTTCTTCTGTGCATCAACATATTGTGTTCATAAGCAATCATATAATTAGTAGGTTTGATCAGTTAGATGAAAGATCACTAGCAGTAGTTTATTTTAAAATATTAACAGGACTATACCTTGATTTTCCTACCTCCTGGTTCAAAGTAGAAAAAGAAAAGCAAAAATAGAAAGCACACCTTCACAACGGACAGATACGAGTCAGTAAGGCCAACATACTTCCCAACCATAGCAATCCTCACCTGTCATAACAGCATGTTTTTATCTCAAGTATAAAAGAAGAATATTCAACAAGAGGATTACAAGCTAACCATAAATATACTGATATATGGATAAGGTTGTCCTCAGGAAAAAAATAATTAAGTAAAGTATTACTAACAGAATTCGTGATATTATCATAAGTCTCGGCCATCTTTGTCCAAGCTTGTAAATCTGAAGGTGCAGCAATGCTGAAACAGATAATTGCAGTCTGTAAGTTAACAAATCAACCATGCGCCTTAAGTATCGAGTTCTAGAGACAGCGATGTCTTGCTCTTTAAAGGGTTAGTTAAGTTCAACTGGTGTCAATCTAAACATGGTAACAAATCATGGATATAATCAATGCAACAACCCATGGTCGTATTTGAACAGGGACAAAAACAGATAGGTACATTGTTAGACAGCATCATATAAATTGCTTCCCTTAGATTCATTTCTCTGCAAACTTCTGAGGTCGGTAAGGGCTCTGATCTGAAACTTGAAGCCTTATTATGCAGAAAAAAGTTGAAACAAACACTAACCTCAGCAAATTTAGCTGTTGTAGAATTGAATGATGAGCATTTTGGCTCTGAAACAAATATTCATGTCAAAAAATATTAACAGGATGATGATAAAATAAACAAGAAAAATTTGAGTTTAGGAGGAACCATAGAAAAGTTAGTAAATGCACCCGAAGTAAGAGAGGAATGTGCCAAATGTTTGGAACGTCATGAATGTTGAGAATATTAGCAATCTGAGAGAAACCATGACAAGATATATAAGATGAAAAATCAATTAAACAGGTTCTGATCGAAGGATAAAAGAAACAAACTTCACAACAATTTACCGGGACATGGCAGAATTGAGAAAGTTTCTCCTTTGTATTTGCCAACAGAGGCTGCAATATGATTGCCAATTAAAGAAAATTGAAAGTTTTAACCATCGTGTTCACCATTGAGACCATTTGAATAGAACACATAAAATTTAAATCATATTAATAGCTTTATTCCAACCTATAACTTGGGCAGCACAATAAATTGCTGCATCTAAACCACAATCTAGAAAATGGTTGGTATCAATATAAAAGATTCCAAAACCAAAATTTTGCCACCCCTTTCCCTCCCACATGCATGTAGGCAACAGATAAGGAGAAAGATGAACCTGGGCAGAGCGACATGCCAACAGATGAGGTGTCAACCCTAATGCTCTCAATTCCCGAACACTGTGCTGTGTAGGCTTAGTTTTCTAGGATAAAGGAAAAAAAAGAGAGTAAGCAAGAATAATAAAGAGAATGAAGCAAGAATGAGAGAATAATCAGCCAAATAAAAGAGAAAAAAATATATATACAATGAATTTCAAGTAATATTATCAACCTTGGTCTTTAACAGCAGGCCACAATATGTAGAACAAATAAAATATTGCATATTTTGGTAAAGGTTTATAGAAAAATATGGAGTATTACTTGCTCGCCAACAACACCCAGCACAGGTATCAGGCTCACATGAATGAGACAAAAGTTATCTTGACCTGAGGAGGCAATAGAAAGTTGAATTAAGGAAATACCACAAAATATGTAGGGAATTACACCACAGTGAATATGACAAGCACACCACATCAAAGAAACAATGGCTCAGTTTCCATTATATTAGGTAACAGGAAAACAATGCATAGATATATCTTAAAAATTGCACAGATTGATCTACACAGCATAGAATCATGCACATATAACAGAAACCCAATTATTAAACTGTTCAATCAAATTCAAATATACCATAATGCAAATAACACATACATTAACAAGGTTCTTCATTAACCTTCTTAAAAATGCCGAGGACATAATTAATTGTCCATATAAATCAAATAATACAATGACATAGCATAATAAGTGCAACTTACCAACTGAAAATGATAGTTGTCGCAAAGCCTCAATGAATGGCATTGATTCAATGTCCCCTAACGCAAAACAAGTGTCAATCAAAAAAAGAAATCACCAATTCTTTGTGCACCATAAGTCTCTATTGTATCAGGAAGCTCTTACCAACAGTTCCTCCCAACTCAATCACACAAACATCTGCTGGGCCCTCTTTACCGTCCACAGGAATAGCAGCAACGGACTCAATCCAATTCTTAATGGCGTCTGTGATGTGAGGAACCACCTGGGATCCACCCAAGAGTGGCAGAAATCTAAGTCACCAGTGTTTTCTTTACACAATTAAGATCTAACAAACATTTTTCAGTATAAGAAGCATTACCTGAACTGTCTTTCCAAGATAATTACCTCTCCGTTCCTTCTCAAGGACAGACTGTTTAAAAGTGAAGGAGATTGATTATTTTTAGTAACACAAACAATTGAATGGACTTCATATATTCACATTTATATTTATAAATTCAAGCACCTGATATATCTTTCCAGTGGTGATGTTGTTATCTCTCGTGAGAGTAACATCCAGGAATCGTTCATAGTTACCCAAATCTAAATCCACCTGTACAAAAGAAAAAGAAAAAAAACCCAAATAGTAACTTGTAGCACACTGCTTGACAGACTACATACATGACTCCTAAAGTTATTATATATGCAAGAATGTATATTATGGCAACTTCTTCACAAAGTAAAATTTATATGAACAGATAAAGAAAAAACCTCTCCACCATCGTCAAGAACAAAAACTTCGCCATGTTCAAAGGGAGACATGGTACCAGCATCCGTATTAAGGTATGGATCTGCCGGACATAAGGGAGTTACAACAATTGACATGCAATTAAAGTTCAAAACAAGAAAAAACTAGTGAGTTGATAAAATAAGCAATTAAAAAATTGAAGAAGAAAGACGAACAAAGACCTCCAATACGAAATGCTCATGCACAAATACCAACAACAAAACTAGTAAAGCAACAACGGTTGAAAATATCCGATTCCAACAAAAAATTTAAAAAAAAAAAATGATTTTAGAATGAAAAAAGAAGAGCAAGATTAAAACAGAAGCGGAAAAAGAAGAGAACCAATTTTGATGGAAGTGACGCGAAGACCACAGGCCTTGAGGACGACGCCTACGCTGCTGGCTGTGACGCCTTTACCCAGTCCACTCACAACTCCTCCTGTAACCAGAACGAACTTCATCGTCTCTATTTTATACTATTGTAGTAGTAGTATCAACAGATTTTGTTTGTTTGTAAACAAAGTGTTTGTGCATATGTCTGAGCGGGAAAAGATTAAAGAAGAGTGCACACAAAGTCCCTTCTTGGCTCCTGAAAAAGGCACTTTCTGGTTTTAACCAAACCTAGAAAAAAGATTTTTGGCAGTTTTGGCTTTCAATCAACGCCGCCTTATAAGTCAACCTTATGTTGCCACGTAAATATTAGCACCATCCATTTTTTTGGTTTCTTTTTCCGGTTCAATTTGATTTGGAGGAGTGTTATTTGAGAGTCACATCAAAACTCCTTTCTAACCTCGTATAAAATAGAATATATTCAATAAAATTAAATATTTTCATTTCAGTCCTGTAGTTACATATGTTTTACTTTCGATTAAGAATCTATGAATGATAAGAACATTGGCATATACGACATCATATGCCCGCAACTCGTTCATTTCTTTTGCTTATAGTTGATATGTCATCGAGATTCCCACATCGTTATTCGTTGATTTATATGCTTCCACTAGCTTCACCCTTTTTTTATTCTTAAACATGTAGAATAAAAGTTCATAAAGTTTGTCAAACAACGCATAAAGATCTTATTGGTTCCAGACAAGTGAAATCTAGACAAATCTTTCATACATCGGAATAAGGAATATTAATCAATTCTATTAATTATACTACTAAACAACCATTAGTCTTGTAACTTAACGATGAGATTTTAATTATCTAGATAGATTAAAATGATCATCTATTATATTTATAACTTATTTGATTAATTAGATTGAGAATTTATAGAATGTTTAATAGAATTTAAATATTAATTATAATACGTATGAATTAACTTGGATATCCTAATAATAATTAAAAAAAAAATTATGCTGCTTAAAATTAAATGTAAAAAATCACGTGAAAGAGATTTTATTTTCTTTAATAGCAAACCTTTTTTTTTATTTCACTATTGGGTCAACAAGTTGATGGCTAGATTGCTTCACCTATATCAAAATGGGAATCACATGAGATGACATTAGGGGTCAAACCACAATGGTCTTGCTCAATTATTGCATTTTCTATGATGTCAACCCCAAAATTATACACGTTTTACTTTTACCTGATTGCGTCCCCTCATTAATCCATTAGCCGACAATTCTATCTATCATGGAAGATCTGATCAAACTCAAGCTGCTTATGGGGAGAAGAACATTTTCCCACCCACCCTTTCTCACCTATCAACTTTTAAAATGATATTTTTTCATCTTTCCGTAGTATTTTCTGTTAATATTTAGTTAAAAAAATAAAAATATTCTTAAATAGTTTATTTCTGAATTAGTTTATTATATCATTCCAGAAAATCCAGACTAAGCAACAGTCAAATTTTATCGGCCAATCTATACTTCTTAGCCCTAGTGAGGATCTGAGTTCAAGTAGAGCAGCTTGCTCATTGGGTCAACTCAAGGTCTTAAGTTGCTCAAATGTAGACTCAAATAATAGCAACAATATAAAAATAATAACTACTACACTTTGCTAATCCACGATGGCTCATAACATAAACTTCCTCCTATTTAGTACGATCTTTCAAGTATATTTGACAACAAATGAAAATGAAATCTAACAAAATACAAAACACCCAAATGACAAAAAGACATTTTTTTCACATACGATTAAAGACTCTCAGTTCCTTTCTCTTCGAAAATAGAACTAAAAACTCTTACCTGAATCACAAGTTTTTTTTTTCCCCTTTCTGTTATTTATTTATCTCCTAAATTTCTTCTTCTTCCTTGAAAAAAGCTTGTTATTGACCAAGCTATGTGCTATATTTTGCTTCCGTTCTCTTCTTTTCTTTGTTTCTTTCTACCTACTCTCTCTCTCTCTCTCTCTTAATCCTTCAGTCTCTTCGGTTGACGAAAGAGAGAGAAACTAAAAATAAAAAAAAAAGTACAATGACCTGCAATTTAAAATAATAATTTTAAAGAGATAAATTAAAAAAAAAGGCGGTCAAGACTCAAGAACAAAGAATAACTCTCAAAGTGGACTATCACTCTCTCCTCTCTTAAGACTCTTAACACAAACTTCCTATTTTAATTCTAAAATAAAGGCTTGATTTTTAAGTGTCGACAATTCTCCATCTTCTAAAAAAAGAAAAAAAAAACTTTTTTGAGCCGCAAAAGTGGGTTTGGTTGTTGATAAGAACCAAAAGCAGTGGCTCAGGTATTGGTCTGACACAAAAGCGAGGGTGGTCCGACCCTGTCGATTTGGGTTTGACCTCCAGTAATCCCGTCCAAGCCAGCTCACTTCTTACTTTCATTATGTATAATAAAACTTCTCTCTCTCTCTTTTATAATATTTAAGGGTATTTTCGTCTTTTAATTAAATATTGATAGAAAACACTAACAGAACCCCGACGAAGGGTGAGAAAGTGTTGTCTCACCAAACCTTGGGTGGCAAAATATCGTTCTCCCTATTTTTTAAAGAAGAATGCATTATGTTATGATTGTTATTAATTCAAATTTTATATTTTTCAACTCAAACAAAATAATACATACCATTTATGAATATTTAAATTGTTGCATAGGCTAGTCGAAGAAGGTATTATCCCGTGCATGCTCAGACTTGAGTGAATGCACTGTTAATGGGCAGATGCGATGGATATAGAAGAAACAGCAGCTCAAGCTAAGGTGCATTCCACACTTTCAAAGTCAGATGAGGTAAAGACAGAGGCAAGAGCTGAGCATACATCCCATGTGAGGCATTCATTCACATTCCTCCACCCGCTATTTCTTATTCCAGCTATTAAGATTCAAAACTGATAGCTAATAAGAGTAAAAGATATGTTCCCACCCGAGGTTTAGCGAAATGTCAAGTTAATACCTCTGGTTACCTTTCTTCCAGATTCCCACCCTTACATCAACTGAAAACCATTTAATATAACGATATAGGGTAAAAAGGTCATTTCAATTGCATTAAATATAAAATAGAAATGAAAATACAAAATAACCCACCACAACAAAAATTCCTCTCAAAACACCACCCTCTCTTTCTACAAATTAGCCCGTTTTTAGTCGGAAGTGTCGGCGCCGCCGTTAGCCAGTTCGGGTCAATCCTAATCGATTTTATCACCGAAACCAGCCAAAATCAACTCATTTTTACAAATCCAACCCTTTCCCACCTTGAATTTGACCAGATGCCACCATTTCCGCCATCACCAACCATTTTTTTATCGATTGCCTCCTATCTTTCCAAGTCAGATTCCAGTTGAATCCAACAACCAAAATCAAATCTTCCACCACCCTCCTAACCGCCAAACTCTGCTCTATAAAACCCCTCAAACCCTGCCAACTAGTTTCCCTCTAATCCTCAGGCATGAAACGCTGCCCTCTTGCCATTGTTTTTTTGCGATTTGCTAGGTTGGAAGCTTTTTGGAGGCTAATTTTTTGTAGTTTAGTGTTGGTTATTGCTATTGAAGTGTTGTGTTGTGTTTTTTTCAACTAATTTGTGGGTGTTTTTCTGGGTTTCCATCATCCCCAACCATTCCCAGCTCTCCCCCTCTCAGGTGCATGCCAAGTGCTAAAAAGACCCACCAACAATTTGAGGGTGCACTGGGAAAGGAAAGGTAGGGGTTTTGTAGTCAATGATGAGGGGAATTTGATGGTACTATTAGTGGTGGTTTCCAGTGCCAAAATCGACCAAAATCTAGCCTAAAAGACAGGAAAACGCACAAAGGGACAGTGGTCGTCGACCGACGATTTGAAGGTGCATCAAAGAAGGAAAGTTAGGAATTTTGTAATGGGTGATGTGGTGAATCTGATGGTATTGTAAATGGTGGTTTCTAATGTCAAAATCAACAGAAATCTGGCCTAAAAGACGGGAAAATGCGCCAAGGGATAGTGGTCGTCGACCGGCAATTTCAAGGTTTTGAAGCCACAAAAGTGGGTTTGGTGTTGGTAAGAACTAAAAGCAGTGGCCAGTATTGTCGGACACAAACGAGGGTGGTCCGACCCTGTCTGTAACACCCCCTGAGGTACGTAGTTAAGATTTGATGATGTTTCGAGTGTTTATCGAGTTATCCTTAGTTAAGCCTGTATGTTGTTGTTGTTGTTTGGTTTCTCCTTGATGAAAAGGTGTATTGGTTGGGTTGAGTGTTTTTCCTTGAAGGTTAGTATGATTTAGCAAAATTTAGGGTTATAGTCTTCGCGGGGGCGAAGGAGTTTTGTCGCCGCGGCGAAGAGGGAGTGCTTCAACCCGGTGGGCCTCTGTGAGTTTTCGCCGAGGCGAAGAAAATAGCTTCGCCGCGGCGAAGACTCGCTGAATGTTTCCCTTGAGTTTTTGAGATTTCTTTCTTTTGCCTCATACCATTCTACCCCTTTTTAGCAGGAAAAGTGGAGTGAATTGTAAGGAAAATTCATGGAAATAGTTTGAGTGGGGTGTGTTTGTAAAGAATGAAAGGTCTTAAATGGAATTTCAAAGAGTGAGTAAGGGTATTTTGGGAAAGAGTGGAGAAAAATATGTGATATTAAGGGTTAGCTTTAGAAACCCCTTCATTTTGTTTTCTCACCACCGCCTCTTTCATCCCTATTTCTCTCAATTTTTCATCCAAGATTCCAAGGATTCTTGAAGAGCTTTTGACTAGAATTTGTTACAAATTGATCCTAAGTACTAAAGGTAGATCTCTTACTCTAGAAGCAAATTTTCATTGTTGAAAGAATGGATCCTTATTAATTTTTGTATTGAAGGTTAAGAGAAAGTGTTAAGCCATCAAGAGTGGAGAGTTTAAGTGGGTTCTACTTGTATCCAAGTAAGTAAATTCATCTATTGTGATTTACTTGATTAATGATGTTAGAGAGTTTTAGATCTATGATTATGCTTGAATTGTTTATGTTGAAATGAGTTGTGGATTCATGAATGGGTTAACTGTTGTTACATGAAGGATTTTCCACCATGAGGAGGGTGGATTGTGTTGTGAAATTGTGGTAGATTATGGGTAGAATTAGAAGTAATTGAGAGGAATTTTGGAAGTGTGTTTCTCTTTGCAGGATGTGTGATGATTTAAAGGAGTTGAACTCCAATTTTGGATGGTTAAGAAAGAATTATGATTAAAGTTAGAATAGAGTTTATGTATGCACACATATTGTTTGATGAAATGCCTAAAAGA